TCATGCGGCGAACGAGATGCGAGATGCTAGAGATGGCAGTCTGCAATATCTCCAACAGAGAAATGCTGTTGCGCTGGTTGTGTCAAGCACAAGAAGATGTTAGTTAAAAGTCCTTCCCATGTGCTCCTGGATGTCCACTCTTGCATGCAAGTACCACAAGTCATGTTGCTGAGCAACGCTTGACCTCGGGTTATCCTGGTAATTTGGGCACATTCAGGCAAGGTTGACTACATGGACAGCGTTGGAGTATTGAGTCATTATCGCCGTTAACGCGGACTCTCGGCTGCAAGCATACCTCGTTGTGCTGGCTCTGTTTAAGCCCGATGCTCATTGTGGCTTGTGGGATTCAAGTCTCAAGGCTTCTGTTTTGCAGAGCTGCTTCAAAATGTCTAAATATGGCTTTGCTGGGATCGCTGTTTGAAGGGGATCTGGCCCAAGGTAGCACTGCACAGAAAAGCTCCAGACCTAGCAACCCACCTCAAGCTTGTTCCTTCTCAAGGTTTTGGAACCAAACCTTATACCCCTAGCCCCCGCGCATCCTGGCCGCTTTCCTTATTTATGCAGCTTTTGGACAATTTGCTGAAAATGCCTGATTCCCGAAACTTCCCCCCCTGCCTCCCTGCATCCAAGCCGCTCCATGAAATAGGCGGATGGCAAAAGAACAAAAGGGTAGACAATCAGAAACCTGAGCGCTCGTGCACCAGGCCGCGGGAGTTTTGGGGCTGCAGATGGAGTCTAGAGCCAAGACTTTGGAATGTTATTATCTGACGGCCAAAGTCCATCAGGAATCATCGATTTTGCGCATTCATTGGGCTTTGACGTGGACCGCAAGCCTGAAATGAAATGCTTAGGGCCTAAGCCGCAAACCTAGCTACATGGCCAGCACAATTTTGAAATGCCTCCTCAGGCGTTGTTGTCGCCAGCCCTCGCCTCCCATTATCACAGTGGAGCGCTCAAACTTTGTCATCTTTGTCGTCCAAACCCTCGCCACCCACTATCACAGTGGGAGACCCAGGCTTTGTCGTCTTCGTCGTCGAAACTGCCTCCCACTATCACAGCGGGAGGCCGCCCAGTGTACCAAAACACAATCCTGTCCGCCTAACCCCCCAAACTGATCATCAAATGAACAAGATTTCTGAGGTTAACCTTTCCAGCGGAGCCAAAAACATACACGAAAAACATCCTACAGGCAGCCACACGGACCCAATTTTCCTGGATACATCTAACTGATGAAAAATTCAAGGCTTGAGCCTTTAGATTTCGTTTTGCCGCATTCAACCCCTGTCTAATCCACAAAAACCACTACCGCCGGAATACTGAATGCGTGAGCAAGAGGCTTGGCGGGCACTGGGTTGTGACCCCAAGGGCCCTCGCCGTCTGGGATTATGTAGAAAGCCAGAAACTGAGCAACAGGGTCCTCACCACATGGTTTAGGGCTTTGGGTCTGGGCTGCGGGGCAAGGAATTCGGCCGAAGATCTAAGGGTGTTGGCTCCTAGCGGTGTTAGTAGTTGGCAATGCGTGGAAGACACAACAAGAAGAGTACTTTTCGATCATTACAAAGACATGACAATGGTGATGAACATGCTCCTACATAAGAACATGCATAACACAAACCCAAGCGAGTCCTCTGGATAATTTCAAGTACCCTGCAGCAGTCAGGTCATGAAGGCACGACCAGTTTTGTGTCCTGTTACATTTGGTGTTCCGGTCGGCCAACTCATGCGTGACTTGCTTTTCTACTTGGTGCTGTTCTGGGGGCCCACTGGTGACAGCCTTTGGGCTCATGTGCCACTATCTTGTTAAATCATGTGTGACTTCGCAGCATCTCTTTTTGCAACAACATGCGCTTGATTTGGTTGTACTGTCTAAGTCTCATCTTTCAAGCTTAAGGTCTTAGGCTCTCATCTTAGAGGTCAGTACGGGGTTGTCCACAGCTCTGCCCCTGATGTTGGGGTCTCCAAGGGTCAGGAAACCCTTTTGTGGGGTCTCTATGTTTTGGATTGCTGTATCTTGGGGACACAGGGGCGGGCACGGCGAGCCCCGTTTCGGACATGCCCACTCTGAACCCCCACCCCTTACTCCAGACCTCAAGCCCTGGAATTTCGTGGTTCGTCCCACCAGGCTCCTGCAACAGGTACTGCGGGTACGAGATCCTCCCCAGAATGCGGAAGATATGCGTGCGAAAGATGTATTTCACGATGGGATCCTCGCCTTAAAAGGACGAGGGCTGGAGAGCGGGGGCTTTTGGGCTGCAATCAGAGTTTACAGTTTGAATTAGATTTAGGGGGGCTTAAGGATTGCTGGCTTAGCTTCAGGGTTAGCGAATGAAGCTTGCGGGATTGCAGTTACGGGGCTGACAGGATGATCCGTGGCCTCCATTGCGACATTATCGATAACTTCCCATGCCCACCTGTATTTCGCTGGTACTGCCGTGAGCCTTTTGGAAACTAGCATTAAGCTCAATGTCTCCGGTTTACATTCCAGGTGTAACTGGAAGTGCCTACATGCTCGTGGAGGTATTGCTAGATGCAGAATGTACGGTGAAGCACTAGGGCACTAGGGATACCAACATCCTGCCGAAGAGGAGCCATTTGTAAAAGGACTAATGATAAGCACCCCCCCACTTTTGACCACCCAAATCAGAAACCCTGGTGCCCCACGACTTGCAGGGTTTGAGCCCCTTGCAAAATCACTGTTTATGATTCGATCGATCTCCGTGTTGGCAACCTACCTGAAAGTTACCGTTGAACCTGCGTAACAGCATGAGACAAAAAGCCTGAGGATTGCCGCACTTTTCTCCCCAATACCCCAGACACTGCATCCTAGCCTCCCACAGCAGACCGCTCTGCTACAGCTTCCTCCTTCCGCTTGCTCTTATGCGGGCAACCTTCACCGCCGACTCTCCCACCGTACCATCCACCACCACTACCACTACCACTACCACCACCACCACCACCACCACCACCACCACCACCACCACCACCACCACCACCACCCGACTCCACCGCAAACACAGCACTCCACCACCACCCCACCACTGACAGCAACGAAGCCGCTGCTACCTACTGCATGCCTGCACGAGGACCTTTTCTGAATAATCGCTCTTCTTCCTCCTTCTGCTGCCTGCTGCTTGCAGCTGCTAATCACTCCACGATGTACCACTGCTGCAGCTACTCCCTAATAACCTTCTCACCATCACCATTCACCTAGCTACCCACCTGCCTTCGACACACAAAGCCATGCCATGCCAAGCCCCAGGCCCACCCCGCATCCCATCAAAATTAGCACGAGGATGGGGATCAAACCTCCGTTGTGAAACCTGAGCTCCGGGGCCGTCAAGTTTGCTTTCAGGTCTTGCACTAGGCAGTCCAAACACTCCTGCGCCAAAGACACAAGGACAGCCGACCCAGCTTTGTGGGAAAGCGCACTTGGCGTAAATTTCTTGACAAGCGTAGCTGTGAATCCCCCAGCAAGGCATTGAGCAGCTGTAGGTGAGAGGTTTGAAAAGCTATCAGGCGCTGGCCACTGAAGGAACGATCTGCTGTCGGGGCGCTGCGCTGGGGAAGGGGGGGACTTCTGTTCGGGGCATGTAGGCTTGCAGGCACTCACCAGTCCTCTTCAACAGTTTTTCCAAACAGGTAGGAACCAGTGACTACATGGACTCAACAATGTTTGGAATCCAACACGTCAGGCCCCTGCTTCAATCTTTCTCCTTGTGATGCAGCGGATCTGCTGATAAACCCTGACCTTCAGTTCATAGGTCATCGTAGCTTTGTAGGAACACTAACACACGATTGGGCTGACCCCTAACCATGCACCGACTGGCATCATAAAGCCTGCAGTCATAAATGCCCCTGCCTGCCCTGCATATATATGTATATATACACCTATACATGAGAATTTCTGACAATAAAGCATAAGCCCTTTACACTCCCCAAGTGGACCCCAAAGTCTTCTTACAAATTCCCTACACCCTCATAGGGTCACTGAGGTATCCCTGTTTGAGAATCACCTTTAGGATGCTGAAGCATTCCACCTGGACCTGAAAGCAGGAGCTAAGGCCCCGGCATCCAGTAAACTTTTCCATGCCTGGCTTGGTCTCACCCAGATTATGGAAAAAACAAACAGAAAAGGACATGAAAAATATATTGGAAACCGAGGCTGGGTTATGGGGATATGTTGGGTTTAAGGCTTTGAAGCGTACTGCCACATGAAGATCTGATTATCATTAGATACTGCGAACATGACTGTTACCATGATCTTGACGGCCTTACTAGGTTGACTGTTCTTACTCTGCTCTTTGCTTGCCTGTTTAACTGCTGCTGGAAACATAACTTGTCGTCAAATCTACTCTAGGTCTGAGAGGAATAGTCCTGCATGACACTAGCTTTACTCCCTGGGATGCCAGGTAAATCGGATATGTACAAGGCTCATGCAAAACCCTTCCGCAGCAAAACATGTTTAAGCAGGACCCAGATGCTTCAGACCATCCTGAATTCCAGGCTCTATGAAGGACCAAGTCAGGACCAACACGGCCCACAAGAGATATCCTCGGTTTGTGGAGATCAGAAAGGCGTGGGGATTTGAAAAAATAAAGGCCCAAATCTGCGTGGAAAAATAAGTCAACATTTGAGTGGCTCTCTTCTTTTGGTCGCCACAGGTCTGTCCGAGTCTAAGGGCTGATCAGTTCTTAGTGGATCTGCTAGCGTCTCTGTCGCCGATAACTGCCAAGCATTTGAGTCCACAAATTTACGGAAAGAAGCACTAAACATCCTATGCGTGCACCAATGAATTGCCTTGGTATAAACATCACAGTTTGGGGGCTCGACCAGTCAGAGCTTGATTACAACGTGTTGAACAAAGACCATGAGCTTGACAACTCCATGTTCAAAGAACCCGAGATGATCAACAAGCCGGAACCCCGAGTTCTCACGCAAGTAAACATGGGCCGTTCAATTCCAAAACCAGAGACCCTAAGAACATAATGCAGCAAAGCCTCCAACAATGCAACCATACCGCAATATGAGAGGCGCTCGCTCACCGGATACCACCAGGTCTACAGTTTCGTCCGAAGGCGGGCCTCCTGGGGTTATGCTGTCGGAGCTTCTAAGAATCAGAGGCCCCCGGTGTACACCATGATGAAAGTTACCGTGTCACTCTACGGAGATTGGCATGTTTCTAAAGTTGGGGCGGCGCTGTTTACGCGTTTTGCATGGGCAGCAACGAACATATCTGCCACGGCGAATCCGCAGGTCTCCGTTGTTGAGACCCCTCGCTTTACAGGGAACGTGCATGTTCTCGTATGCGCAAGTTTTGACAACTGTAACTTCACACCTCAGAAGTAAGAGTTCAACCCGCTACTGCATGGCCTGAGTGGCTGGTTGGATGCAGCAGCTGCAATGGATGGACTCCCATCCCACCCTCAACTCCAACACAAACTTGACTTAGCCCAGATCTTTCAAACCATTTCCTGCAAACCTCAGGAGCCCATTGCACACCGAAAACTTGCTGTAGTATTCCGTGACTCCTACGTTTTGTCCATTCAGCGTCCTGTGTCTTTGTCCTCCAAGCAGAGGAGAATGAACATTCGTGCAGCCACAATGCCAGAGAGAAACACATGGAAGTAGCCTATCGGTGTAGCCTGCAGGTGTCGCATCTCGGCTCCAATGGCAGTAAACAAAGGCCCACACAGTTCCATGCTTTCTGGAAAATACTGAACTCTTTGCTGTCAGGATTTGCAAAGCGCTTTATGACTTTGAGACGCTTCCATTCCAGACCTAGACTGTGAAGCCCGACGAGCAAGGACTTCCTTAGGGTGCCCTTTGCACTGGGCGACATTTGTTATCACGCTCTGCAGTACCACAAGAAGCTTCTCTGCTGTTGTACCAGCCCATGCGTCAAGAGTGGAAAGAATCTTGAAAGAGTATGCCTCTGTGAGTGGCGTGCTTTGCATAGTGGCTGTCGCGGGGAGTAGTACCAGTGGGTTTTTCCACTGCTGCCGGACCATTAGCAATTAGCATGACTGATGACTGTGATGGAGTTTTCTGGCTACAAGTGATCGCTTGGATACTCTTGCTGCGCCATTTGTCCGAACTCGGCCTGGACAAGGGCTGCCAAGACCAGCCGCCTGTAATCCTCGCAGGCTGTTCTCAAGATGATGGAGCCTTTCGGGGATTTCAGGGACTTGTAGTACGTCAGCTAATTTTGGGGTGAAAAAAGGGAACACCAAATCTAAAGACCCATCTGGGAGGATCACCCCGGCATGGACTAGGCTGCTAGGTGTTGCAACCATGGCATGTAGCCCACAAGTATCACATTAACGCGTTTTCCTCAGCAATCTGCTTGACCGGGTTATACGTGCAACCACAACTTGGCTAAGATGGCCCTGAACATGTCGGGGGCAATACTACGTGAATTACGTGCTACGGCAGTTTGAGTCAGAAGCCAACTCTGACTGCACGCAGAATATAAATTTGCTGGGGCTCCCCTTATGAGGCCTTTATTCCCGCGAACTTCATCCCTAAATCCTCATATCTGATCCAGAATAGCCAAAATGCCGTTGAAGCCCCTGTCAAGCCCCATGCACAAGAATCCCCCTATAACCCCTACGCAGAACACCTAAACCCTCTACTAGCCGCGCCGCTACGCGTTTCTCCTCATGATCCCTACGTGTCTGCCCTGGCTTGGAGAAACTTCCACTATACCTCCCACAAGCTCACAAGGCAGCTGGGATGCGGCTGCAGCAGTCGCGTGGACATTGCCAAAAGCCTCGGCATCCTTTCCACCGGTGGCTTCACTGGGATAGATGGCGAGAGGAAGCCTTGCTCTTCATTGCTGCATTTAGGAGGATTGGGGGGGTAAGAGTGGAGGTTACGGGGTTTAAGGGGTTCAAGGGTTTACAGGGGTCCAAAATTTAGGGTTTGGGCATAGGCAAGAGGGCGATGCCCTTCAGTCGACTGTCGACTGAGAGCAGACGATCCGAAGACAAATCGATTCTCTATGGATCCATAGGCAGATACAGCATCATCGCTTGTTTCGAGTGCCTTTATGAGGATGAGGCTTTCTGGTCTTCTAAGGAGTTGGATCTGGTTGATCTAGATGTCTTTGCAGGACCTCTGGTGACTTGTAGAGATTGAGGAGGCTCCTGGAGAGAGGGATCCTTTTTCAAGCACTACATACAGTCAACACCAAAACACTCACCCAAGCTACCGGCGGAGATTTGGAGCTTGTCATCTAAGAGTTTACTGAAATGAGGGGCTTTCATGTGAGGCGACAATCTACCAGCCAGCCCCAGATCTGGGAAATCAAAAACACGATGGAAAGTGTGAGGGTGGGTTGTAAAGCCCAATGAAACGGCGCACAATAAGGGGTGTACATCACTTCTGAATCCTTCGAACCCAAAGGCCTCCCTTTAACCGCAGAATGCAAGCCAGTCAGGATTGGGTCTGAGTATCACTCTCCTTACGACCAACTCCAGCCGTGAATATGTAGAACAATCCAAGTACGTATATCCCCGAATAATGACCTAGCAGCAGCGAGCAGAGCCAACAGCCTTCACGGGGCCGAAGCTTTTGAGTTCCAGCGGGCTTGTAATTGATTTTTTGGGGGAAAACGGTCTGCCAAGCTTTCGCGGGCCTGTTGGATGGATCCAGCCCAAATGCGCCGGGGTTGGGGAGTTGGAGGGTAGAAGACACACCTCCGCCTTCGCTCCTACCCCCAATAATGGAGAATCAAATGGAAACGAAAATGGAAAATGATATGGAAACTGGGATTCTAGGGTAGTTTATAGGGCTTAGGGTTTAATGCTTCCTTCCTCCCTTCCTTCTTTCCTTCCCTCCGGAAACGTCCCACGCGCACACACAGCGCACATGCCCAGGGGCAAATAAATCTTGGACTTCCACGCCACCAGTCCATGATCATCTGTATATATGTAGATATACTCAGATATATATATATATATGTGTGTGTGTATTATGATATTAGATGTATACACCCTTGTATATATACAAAATATCATGTAATATATATATATATATGGGCTGGAAAATGGCAGGGCCCCTTTGTGCAAGCACCAAGGTCGTAGCTCTAGCTTTGCTACGCGCTGGGGGCCCACCTACTGGGCTTTGATGTATTCTGGCGCATTGCCAACCGTTGAAGGACCTTTCCTGAAGTTTTTTGCAGGTTGTAAATGTGTTGAGGGTTTCTGCATGCATCTTGCGACGATGGCTCTTGATGTGTTGTCAATGAGTTTGGAAGCTTCATGCGGATTTGCACAAGGCTTGCTCAAGGTTGCTCTGGTCTCACGGAAGCTGTGCCTTTTTCTTGTCCTGGTGGTCAGTGGACATCCCAAAAGCAATGTCTACTTCTGGCATTGCTCTGGAGAAGGTTTCTCAAATTTGCGTCGTGACAGAAGGGCAAGCTGGTTTTCCGGCGCAGCAAGCAGGCGCGAACGGCGCAAAGTAAAACAAACTATGGATATTAGCTTCGGTTGGCCTTGATCATAATTTCTTGTATGAATGTAAAGGCCCGAGTCTTGCGCTTGCTCAAGCAACGGTCCTCCGTTGCGTTACCCGGCCAAGGCGTGAGTTCATGGTGAAGATAGGTGATGGGCAAAGGGTCTTGGAGGTTTGGGCCAGGAGGGTTAGGGGGGTTCGGGTTGGTAGGTTGTTGGGATTCAAAGTTTAGCCAATTCCAGGGCTCCAAGGCATACGGTCCATGCATCCCCACATCCAAGGAAAGCAGATCTCCTAAAAGGGATCTGGGAACTGAAAGCCTAAGTATCCTCTGACATCAAAGCCGGCCTAGCAGACAGAGCATACAAGTCCGCAGCGATGTTTTCTGGAATACGCGCGATAATGGTCGCACACAGAGCCAGTACCTCAGGTGGTCCGAGCTTGGCATCTCTGAGACTAGTTCTTGGGTCAAGCTTGCAAACTCTGGGCACCCCGGATTTAGGGTATTGTGAACATATTCTCCAGTACGTAACGGGCACATCAAAAGGTAGTTAGACGTTAACAGACCCCATGCAAAACCATCTTTTTGAAGAGAAGGAAAAAAGTTTCTAAGTCTATGGTTTTGGATACACTGACAATAAGGATGTCCTGGAACCCTGAACAGCATGTCGTGTCCCACGTGAGCAACAATTTACTCAACAAACGTACCCTTAACAGTAGTAGACCCGTAAGCGTGACGACAACTGCAAGGACCCTGCATATGACGGTGACAATAGCAAGAGAAACTAAAAGGCAAAATCTGCTGATTTGTAGCTGGAGTCTGAACCTTCAGCCCTCCCAAACCTCCCAAAGCTGAATTTATTGATCCCAAACCGCAAGCCCCATACCCTCAACGAAAAAGAACTTCACACAAATGAAGTTATCTACTTCAAGAATGCCATGATTTTGTGTTTGAGATGTAGGCACCAAGAGGACATTAGACGATGTGCATGAAAGAGTTACATGGCAATAGTACGGAGATTATGAAGGTCCCATTTGAGGATGATTTGGAAAATTCCGAACCGGACAAATCTTAAGTTGCATCATGGCAACGAAAGGTTATTTGGGAATAAGGTTGCCTACCTCATTCACCTCGGCCAGTACAGAGCACTACAGCCTTACTGACCTCCCGTTTGGTTTTAGGGTGTAGGCCTTTGTAAGCCCTCGGACTTTTACATCAGCCAGCACAACCAACTCGGGTCCTTGCAGAAGATTTTCAGATCTGTGGTAGGAAAATACGTATGGAGTACAACACCTGATGGGTAAGTACAGTAGCAGTGTTCACGAGCAAGTGTGGGTGATGATGAAGGCAACGCCGATTACAATTAACATGTAACTTCCTGTAGGTTGCATATTCCCTACAGTATTCAAGGCCAAAGGAATATTGACAGTCGACAAAGCTCGGTCATGCTGGGCTCCGGGCACAAGCAAACACGATAGGAACCATGAGACACCTGGCCAGGAAATTCAATCTGTCAGGCGCACTCAGGGCACCCCAAAAGCCCAAAAGCCCAAATCTAAGCTGCAAAGCAGGGTGGTTGAGCTTGGCATGTGGGATCAAGAGCCTAGGCAGAACTACTGAAAGCAAGCGCCAAAGCACTCATGCGCACAAGGCAGCCCAAGTCCAAGAGTTGGGACCCATGAGTTGGAGTACATACACACGTAAGGATCACGACGCCCAAAATATGTGGCAATCAGATATGAACAACAGCACCAAATAACACGGAGGTGAACCGCGGTTGTCCCTGCGCAAACAGCCCACAAACTTTGTGCCAGGCCGCCGTTGTACATGTACGAGGCGCATCTGGGATACAAGCGTCCGAGCTAACTTGTTCAACAACCAGTGACAGAAAGTAACATAGCATTCAGCCTATGCGGGGCCTTTTCACGGGTTACTAGGTCTTGTTTCGGGGTGTAAATCGAACAAAGTGAAGACATCGTATTGCGCAGGAAGCGGTGGTGCTTTGTAAAACCCCATCTACTCAGTTTTTGAGCAGCCTTCCAAACAAGCAGCTCCAGTTACCTACTGGAGAAGCTCGCAGAGATCTATTGAACACAATTCTTCTCTAGAGCACAAAACTGAAAACACTCCATAAAAGCTCTGGTTACCTAGGAGCCCTGTCGAAATTTCATATACACGACATGCATC